TGTGTGTGTGTGTGCTCCTGAGTAGGTGCACTTACTGGGTCCTGCTAGATGATAACAAATGAGTACTATAATTTAAATACTTATAAGTATTTAGCTTATGGACAGCAAAAATATGGAGAACTGTCTGAATGATATAAGCCTACAAAATTAAACTGAAGAATACATGTCTAGAAATTATTTCAATTTGGAATCAATTTGGAAATAAAGATAACATTTTCCAAGTTTAGTAACTATTCAAATGTAAGATACTTAGAGTTTTTTCTGTTTTTCTTGTTTGACTTGGTTATACGCTGTTTGGGATGCTAAATATATGATTCTTCCATACTGTGAGTAACGTTAACAGAATATGCTGCTAAACTTTTCTCTTTTAGGGGCATTATGACTGAAGAGCAATTTGTTAACATTGATTTAAATGATGATAATGTTTGCAGCATATGCAAATTAGGAACAGAAAGAGAGACTCTTTCATTCTGCCACATTTGTTTCGAGCTAAGCATTGAAGGTAAGTGTAATCTAATTTCAGACACCTGGAGATTTTGAAATTTATCTTCCTCGAAAAAAAATTCCATTTCCACATTAGTGGTGATAGTAGCTCATGAATGTGTGCTTAACTTTCTAACATAGCTGTGAAAATGCTCTGCAATATGTTTTTATATTCCAAAATCAGGGATGCATATAAATAAGTTGCCATGTAATATCAATTGCTTGTTATACATTTTTAAACTTAAGCAAATGAGAATCTTTTAAGGTTATCAGATATAATGAAAAGCAAAAGGGGTAGTAACTGTGACTTGTTCCTTGACTTTTACTATTAGCCTTCACATACTGGAGAAAAGTTTCAAAAATGAGAGGGCATTTGTAGGGAGAGTCAGAAAAATCAAGATCATGATGGCCAACTGAAGCTTTGCCCCTTTTGTGTACAGCATTGCGTGTAAAAAAAGGGGCAGGGCTTTGATTACCCAAGAATCTTTGTCTTTTTGATCCTTCTGTGTGTGGGGGTATCCCCGAGTGGGAGAGTGGGTTTGTTTTGCATATGTTGATGTTTGTAGTTTAGATCTTTGATTTTCCAGAGTTTTAAATCACATAGTGGTCCTCTATGTGTAAACGGGCTCTAATTCATCTATTTTTCAGAATGTTTATATACATTTTTAAAAAATCACTAAGACACAAGAAGGGAAGATAAAATATAACTAATATTTGTAATAGATTTATATTAAGATTTTGTAAATTTGTAAATGTAAACCAATCTTTGAGAGCCAGTTTGGTCTAGTGGTTAAGGTACTGGACTAGAAGTGGGAAGCTTGAGTTCTCATCCTGCCTTATGTATGAACTTATTTGGATGAATCTGGGCAGGTCAATACTCTCTCAGCCCTAGGAAGAAAGAAATGACAAACCACTTTCAAAAATGTTGCCAAGAAAACTGCAGGGACTTGTCTATGTAGTTACCAGAAATCAAGATGGGGTCGAAGGGACCAAAAACAAAACAAAACAAAAAACCCACAATGTTCTAATGCTTTCTGGTACTTTGTCATTTTCTAATTTGATAAAATTGCTTTATCAGTTAGCCAACATTTTCTCCTTAGATTTCAAATATATGTAAACTTTTATAAATGCTTATTTTTCTGTTCTGTATACTAGAATGTGATTGCTTAGGGTTAGGGATTTGCAAGTTTGGACAAAATAAATAGCTACCAATTGTCTTGCAATGCTGAATAAAATAGACAATTTATTTTTGTCAATCTTTTAGGAGATGAAAATAATGTGACTTTATTCAGAAAAATACTGCCAATTTCAAGCAGCTTAAGAATTTTGTGAAGAATTGTGCTTTGAAAATAATTTCACTAGACAAATCCGATAACTTTATTGTAATAAACATTTGATTAAAAATATATAAAATCCACTAGTTTATTTAATTGGTTAGCTTAATATTAATATTGCTGGTAAACACATATGTGGCACTAGCAACGTGTTACAGTGTAAAATACAATCTACCTCTTGAGCTATGATTAAGTATTAAAACTGATAAAATATTGAGATATTGTTTAGATTTTTATACCCACACCATTCCAAAAGACTCTGGCAGATATCTTGGGTTTTCGAACTTTTTTTGAGGGGGGGAGCTGCATTTTTGCATTGTTTTCTCAAAACTGCATCTCGTAATTCTCTATACTGAGAAATGTATGTTGCTAAAAGCCACTTTAAATGACTTTAGCTATTTTCTAGTAAAAGGGGGAGATTTAAGTACATCAGCTCACTACTGCACTCAGCTTCAGGAGCATTACAGCAAGTGGCTTGCATTTTTGTTGGCTGGGCTAAGCTTACAGCAGCTCATGGAGCAATAATCATACCAGTAACAGTTATTTTATGTGTTTTGTGTTGCTCCCCCAGTGATATCAACAGCAGTAGAAAGTTGGGGAGATGCTTTAACAGCAGATCTCTATAGAAACAAGAAGTTGAATATAGATGGAATAAGTGGGTATTTATGGAGATACAATGACAATAATTTAAAAATCAGACAATGTGATTTTCTGGATTTTTTTCCCCATTTTGTCTCTCATAGTTGAGGTATACCTATGATGAGACAATGTGATTTTCTGGATTTTTTTCCCCATTTTGTCTCTCATAGTTGAGGTATACCTATGATGAGACAATGTGATTTTCTGGATTTTTTTCCCCATTTTGTCTCTCATAGTTGAGGTATACCTATGATGAAAATTACAGGCCTCTCTCATCTTTTTAAGTGGGAGAACTTGCACAATTGGTGGCTGACTAAATACTTTTTTGCTCCACTGTATGTGTTGCCATATTCTGCTGACTTCATAATTATAAACTCCATTTTGCTGGTTTCCATGAAGTGAGAGAAACAAAGATAAAATGAAAATATAATGCCTATATAAACTTAAGATTACACATCAATATGTAGAACCGTATTGAAGTCAGGTGACTTTTCATGTTAATTTTGCTAAATCCCATGATCCATTCTTTGACATTAGGTGTGTAGAAATTGTTTCATTTTTAACTATTTTGAGCATGATATTTAATGAAATGTCTCATTTTGAGTGCATGATGTGCTGATTCCAGCATTTTGGAAGTGTTCAGAACTCAGAATAGCACTTTCTAAGTGCTCTGTTTCAAGCACAAAATGTTTTAAAACAGATTGTTTGCTTAAAGCAGCAGTTTTGCACAAGCGATAAAGAATTTCATACTTGAGATGATTGTTAATGAAACATTTTGCACACCATTTTGGGGAATGTTTTCTTAAAGAAATGAAGCTGATGCTTGTGTGTGAAAAATAAATACAGCTTGATGAGTAGTGAATATAAAACTAGAGATTGTGAGCTATTAGAAAATTGTTAAAGAGTAAACATAAGACATATGAAAAGCAAAATACCATTAATAAGTTTCAAGATAGAAAGTATGCTGGTGGAAGCCTGAAGATGTGTAGAAAAAAGCTTAAATAAAAGGCAACTATTTTTTGCATTCTAGGGACTACTTAGACATTCTTTAGTTTACTTGATGCTGTAAACTTGGCTAGAATATTATACTAGATGACCATCTTACAATCCTAGAACTTTATTAGAACTGTGTTTTAATCAGAATCCATTCATCGCTTCTTAAAATATGTATATTCTGATCAGATATTGGTTAAACCCAGTTAATTACAGGAAATAGTCATCTGTTTTCATCAGCTAAATGCTTATTAGTTATAATGTTTTAAACAGGTTAATACATGCTCAGAATTGACTTGACTAGAAAGTAGTTACAACAAAAAAACCCTGCAGTTGAACTTTACAAAATCTTCTTTCATACTCAAGTTCAGAGTGACCTTATATTTAATCATTATTCTTTTAAAATATCCTTTGAGTAGTAAGTATGGCAGTGCCAGGTACCATCTAAAATAGACATGGATGGAACGCAGGCAGGCAGGCTAATTCGTTGGCAAGTCCTCACAAAAAAACTATGTGTTTGCCTGTTCTGAGAACAGGCAAACACATAGTTTTTTTTTGTGAGGACTAGCACAGCTTGCACAGCTGCTGGGAGAGCTTAGAGGAGCAAAGACATGGTTTTGAAGAGAAACAAGCCCAGGAGCTATCGTGCAACAGTAATATAAGCAGCTTACAGAAGTTAATGCTGATTTTTACATACAAGATTTAAAAAAAAATGGTAGGTGCAGAAAAACATGAATAAACATCTGTTTCAAATATATCAGCAGCTGTTTTAAAATACCCATTGGAAAATAACTTAATTTGGGCTTTTTGTGTGTATATTTGTACTTTCAGTTACAAATATATTTAATATGTAGCCAAGAATATAAAAATACAACATTAGGTCAGAAGTTTTTTCAGTATTAATTTTTTTTCTGATGTATAGAGAGAACTTGTAGACTTAAGTAGTTGCTGAAATGTTTGGCAGGTCAGGTCCAATTTTACAGATGCATAATTGGTCAGGGTTAATATTTGGGATAACATTCTAATGTAAATACTGTACTTTTCAAGAATGTAGATTTTATATATTTAAAACAAGACTTTATTTACTTATTAATAAACTGTCATATCTTTGATCACAGTATTGGGGAGATACATATGCAGAACCCTGCAAGACCGAGTAGTTGGGTTTCTCTTTCTTTTTCTTTTAATTTCAACATGTTTGTAAAGAATACATTGAGGTTCAAGTGAGTGGACAATATTATATATCCTTGCTAAAATATATAATCATTACTTTCTCATAAGGGTTCAAATGTACTTGAGAATGGTATTAGTAAGTAAGTTACGATTTTGGAATACTACAGTCCCTGTCAAACTTAAACATTTGCACAAAATTATTGTTGGACACTAATATTCTGAAAATACAGATTTACCAAGGTTCCTGAGCTAGTGTTGGGATTATATTCATGTCCATGACTAGCCATGGTAACTCACTTGATGACTCTTGGCCAATCACACACTTCCTGTGTTTCAGTCCAGCTCCCATATTAAGGGAAATCCCCATTTAGGTCACTTTTTGCTCTTGAAGGGAAGGTGGAAATTGAATATGAATTTGAATAACTTCAAATATGAAGTTGAAAAAGTATATTTATCTTATTTACAAAATGTCTAGACAAAACTTTTAGATAAAAGATGGAACTTTAGATTCATTCTCAGTTGCATAAACATATTTCAAGTCTACTGTATAGGGGAATAGGAACTAAATACTGAATTATCCTTTTTTTATTTTTTCTTGGGAGAAATTGTGTTACAGAGAAACAGTTACTCCAAATTTCAGTGATGTTGAAATCTAGCTTTAGTAACTACTCATATCTGCAGCCTGTTTGAATTTCCAGGGAGACACAATAAAGAAATCATTAACACTGCTATGAGATAATGGAACTAATTAATTATCAAACCAATTAAAGACTATCCGGTTGAATGAAATATAAATATAAATATATAAATAAAATTTGCAGCCTATAATTTAGTATTATTCATAGAATTATACAACTTGTTTCATTTTTTTCCCTATCTCAGGAATACCAAAGTCTGATCTTCTGCATACAAGATCATTAAGGGGACACAGAGACTGCTTTGAGAAATTCCACTTAATAGCAAACCAGAGTTGCCCACAATCAAAATTATCTAAGAGTACATATGCAGAAGTAAAAAACATTTTGAGCAAAAAAATTAACTGGATTATACAGTATGCACAAAACAAAGATACGGATTTGGATTCAGAAAGTTCAAAACAGACACGGCACCGGATTTTTAGCTTTAGACATCAGAGAGAGAAAAAGTTACTTCCACAGTTTGATTCCCAAGTCCCTAAATATTCTGCAAAATGGATAGATGGAAGCTCTGGGAGTATTACAAACTGTTCACAGAATATTCTAGAATCAAGAGAACCCAGTGATTTTAGATTTGGCATGTTGGAACAAAGAGGTGCTACATTTTGTTGTAATAACTCATTATGGTCTACTCATAACCAGTCATCAGAATTGGGAAAAACTAAGAAAGATCCAGTTAGCTGTCTACGAAGATTTCCCCAGTACAGCAGAGAGCAATGTAAGTGAAAAAGTAATTTATTATAAATTTGTATATATAAACTTTTTATAGCACTTGGAAAATAAAATATTAACTTGTAAGTACTGAAAGAAGTAAATGTCCAGCTGGTACATAACTTGAATTATTAGAGTTTGAATCTAATGATACTGCATTTGTTAAATACTCCAAGCCTAAGGAAGCATCCTTTTTAAATTGTGAACACATACTAAATAGTATGCCTCTTTAATTCAAAAAGTATTTGGAGTTCATACTAATTTAAGACTAGTAAATACAGTTATCTTAAATTTGTGGAATTGTTTTTTGTTTTGTGCTTTGTCAGTGTGATCTAAACCTATCTTCAAGAACATAAGCTCCATTAAAAGAGCTCTATTTTCTTTTGACTAAGCTTCTATATACTTTCATTGTCAACAAAATATACTATTCCACTTATCTAAATATAGAATGTCATGTAAAAATATTCCATTATAGTAATTCTGGATCAGGTAGGAAGGACTTTAAATTGATGGATGCTTCTGGGGCCTTCATAAACAGCCGTACAATTTTGTAAGAGATATTTTGCTAATCAGTCTGTGTTTATTACCAGGACAAAATCTGCAGCATCATAATAACAGCTCCTATTTTAAAGTATAAAAATTATTTGGACAAAAGTGAAAATAATTTGAATTGGATACATTGTTTTAAGGAGAAAGGTTGAAAAATTATAAAGGGAGTTGTACTTCACTTATGTACTGCATTGTCATGCAGTCTTTTAAAAGGGATGTTAGTGCTTTTAGTAATTTGATTTATAATTGCAAGAGAAGAAAAAAAGAAAAATCCCAACACTGAATTAATGTTAAGTATTGATTTTTCTTTATATAGCTACTTCAGTACTATGCAAGTAAAAACTATTGCTGTTTAACTTTTCTGTATGAAAGCATTGTTTCCCATTTATACCCACTCCCATTAACAATTTACTCTCTTTAATTCATACTAGTGAATATGATGCCTCTAGGAGAAGTTGAACAGTTGAATGGGAAACTACTCAAGCAAGTACATGGTGAGATACATTTTAATATTTGCTAATTAATGTGTTTGTAAAACTGTATTTGCTTCTGTTGTCAATTTTAAATCTCTAAAAGATTCATGCTCCATATAAATATTTATAAATGTAATATTTATATTTAAATAAATATATAAAACATCAATAAAACCAACTGTATCAGTCAACAAAAGTAGATAAAAAACAGTCTCAACCAATTATTCTCCAAATGCTCTGTAGCAATGCTTTCTTTTGATCATTTTCTTGAATGCCAATAAGGTGGGTACCAGTCAAACTTAAGGGGGAAAGCTGGCCTATAAAATATCACCTGGCACCAAAAACAAAAACTTATCTTTCCCTTTCGGGAAAAAATATGGGAGAACCAATAGAAATCTGTTTTCTGCTAGCTTTTTGTTCTGTTTTCTTAATTCAATACTTTATCATGGCCTACTTACCAAGACAGTTTAGAATGATAGCAAACACCAAAAATTGTCCCTGTATGGATATTAAATGTGTGTGTGTGTATTTCACCATTTTTGTTGCAGAGTCTCATTCTTTAACACCTAGCATTCTGAGCTCTTCAATTATATATAACAAGCAGAAATTCAGAGATGATTTTGATTCAGTGTCAGACACCTTTGTTCTAAAATTTAGGGTATTAAAAACTACTCCAAATTGCCCCATTCCATTGTGGATTTGTGTTGAGTCAGGGTACAGCTGTAATTCACATTTTTTTTTTAGTTTTTTCTTAGCTATCTTGTAAATGAAAGTACATCATTACAAACTCCTAAGTGGTGGAACTACTTGATATTGTAGGCTAACATGATACCATTATTGATTTCAGATGTGTTTGAAGAATTGACTAAGCAAGTACAAGAAAAAGACTCCTTGGCTTCAGAGCTTAATGTCCGTCATATTGCTATTGAGCAACTGCTAAAGAACTGTTCAAAACTGCCATGTTTACAGATGGGACGAGCAGCTATGAAATCCAATGTATCCATATAGCCATGACAAACTTGCATTTTCTACCTTTGTTTCTTTATCTCATATCTATAAGTTAGATTTTGGGGAAAAAAGCTTGCACATTTGAGCAGTATTTTGGGGGGAAAATTAAGCTTGTGGGTACACAGAGTGTTTCCATTTTTAAAGAGGAAAAATAGATATGGATAGCATTTTTATTCTGAGCTTCATATCATTTCCCGTATTTAGTTGAACTGTGTGAATCTTGATACAGTGAGGCAACATGTCTTAAAAGCACGGCTGTTTGAGCCTCCCACACTGTTTTATGTGCATGGACGTACATGCCCAAACACCTTGCTATGATTGCCATCTCTATACTTTGAGCAGTGGATTTGGAGGAGTGGTTTTGCAAAGCACTCCTCCAGAAGATTTGCACAGCCTAATAATTATTTTCCTTTGTCACCAATTACCAATATTTCAGCTTCATTTAACAAATAATTCTAACCACCTGTAAATAACCTGTGAGATAACAGGTAAAATACAGTTTTAAGAATTAAGAAATAATGGAACAACCAGTATTCGTCTGCATTTTTTTTTATTTATTGCAAGCAATATTTTATTACTGAATTTTATAAAAAGAAACTATTTTAGGTACTTTTCCAGATCTTTTTATAAAAGTTTTGAATTATAAATAGCATTTTGCCTGGTGTAATGAGTGTTACTCTTTTTTCAGGTCAATGTAATTACCTTTCATGATGGAAGTTTTAAAAAAGCTCGTTCCCAAAGATACAATCTTAGTAGTTGTACTATATTACCTTTAATTTTAAGAGTGTAGAATTTTACCAGACATAAGAAATTCAAGCCAAGCACCTACTTTTGGAATGATGGTTCATGCTTTGTTAATATAAGCAGAGCTCAACTTCAGTTTTGTATGTGAATTTCTATTGTTTAATAAAAGTAAATGGCTTAAAAAAACCCTATAATACCTCAAATTAATTGTTAGTAATACTTTATGTCACTTGTGAACTTTATAGAAACCATGAAACTGTTAAATACTATCCTAGGTTAGGCTCCAAAGATCCTACAAGAGAAATGTTTTGTCTCTGAATATTGCCAGAAAAAAAGTAAAATACACAAATACTTGGTACTCATGGGGATAAAGTTGTATAGGTTGAAAGCTGACGAGAAATCTCATTCTGGTAAATACATTCTTTTTGTAAAGCAGCAATATGATTATTTTGTGTGCTTTCAGACCTGAACTAAAAACATTTCCAATCACACTTCATACTAACGCTTCACTTGTACAAGGTCTGGTCCAAAATGCAAACAGATCTGTCTGTGTGATCCATAGTTTTCAAAAAACGGGATTCAAATGCTGGATTATGCAGGAGCTATATATATCCCCTCTCATGCAGACTGAAGAGGGCTGGGGCTGCACACATGCTCTGTTCTCTATATATTTAGATAATTGCCCAAAATGGGCTTGAGTTTCAGAAATAGTCTGTCCAGTGGGCATTGCAAGCCTCTGTGAAGATACAGAATCCAGAATGTGAAGATTAAAAAAAAAATTGTCTGATTTCAAGCTTGCTTGATCCAATCCTTAAAATGCTATATGAGAAAAATCTTCAACCTGTTTAAACCATCACAACTTAAAATTAAATTTTAAAGAATTTTAAATCTTCAAATTAAACAGTAGTGAGATTCAATGATAGATGTGGGAAGACAAGTGCTATTTAAGGACATATTTCAGTCCTAACATTTTTTTTCAGTATAACTCAAAAAAATATATTTCCATATGCTATCAGATTCTAAAAAAATATCAATGTAAATTTAGTATCAGTATTGGAAGGGGCCATTTAAGCCATCAAGTTCATCCCTCTCAATACAAAAGTCTAAATTAAAGCATTTCAGACAAGGCTATCTAACCTCTGTTTCACCACATTCAGTGAAGGTGAACCTACTACCTCTGTTAGAAAGTTTTAAAATCTGCCTTCCTGGAATTTTAATCCATTCTGTGTCCTGTAATTTGGAATGAGAAAGAAGAGGTCCATACCTATTATACGTAACTGGCTGAAATAGCCAAAGCCTAGAAGATAAAATTGAACACTGTCTTGCTAGTTTAGAGAAATTAGCTGAAAATAACAGAATAATCAATGTGGTGCATTTAAGGTATTGGTCTAGGATTGTAGAGACCCAGGTTCAAGCCTGAGCCATAAAAACTCACTGGGTGACTTTGGGCTTGTCACAACCAGCCCAACTCACCTCAGAATTATTGATGTGGGGAAAAATTAGATGAGAGTTATATATTCACCATCCTGAATTCTTGCAGGAAAGGTGGGATATAAAACTAAAAACAATAGAAATATGTTTAATTTACAAATCAAATCAACATAGGACAGAGACACCTGACTTGCTAATGTTTACGGGGGGGG